TTCTACGGTTAAATGAAAAGAAGGGCTGGCACATAACCCAACCAACCATTGCTATTAAATAAGTAAACCACTTTGGACAAAACAAACTTAAAATATTCGATTTCAAAAATGCTATTTGTTAGTCCAGTTCAATGATATGTTGGGATATGCTGTTGAGATGTCTTGTAATGCTTTGTTAAGGTTTAATGTTAATACCATGTTTCAAGAGGCACTTTATTTATTTATTTGTATTTATTAAATTTCTACACCGCCCATAAGTGACTCTGGGTGGTTTATCACAAAATTGTCCTTCAACTCAAACTATGAAAGGAACAGTGTTTCATGGGAACAGACTTCAACTGGAATTAGAGCACTTCTATGATTATTTAAATGGTTATATACAGCCAATGAGAAATATGCAATGGGATATGAAACGCAAGGAGTTTTAAAGATAAATATATCCTAAGAGATAGAGTACAGAATGATGAATGTAAGGCTTCTCTACTGATAATATACATTTATTTAGACTATAGCAAAATGCTACAAGTAATTAAGAAGATTCCAGCATGACCTTATCTGAAGGCAGAAGTTTCTGATGGCCGCAGTTTATTCAGAGGAAACAGAAAAAAGACAATGGATACTTTAGATAAGGATGCCTAAGTGGAACTGACAATTCAGAAGTGAAGCACTGTGTTTAATTACACCGAAGCTGACAGGCAGCAGTTCACATTATAAGCTTGAATGCTTCATCATTTTCTTTATAAACCCAAGTGCCCAAGATGACATTAAAGCTTTTGTTCAGTTAACGGCAAACAAACAAAAACCCTCCTTAACAGGTCAAAATGTTCAACAGTTCACATCAAAAGCACAATGTTTAGACTGTCCATTATTATTACAAAATCATCAGTTACAGTGACAAAGAATAGAACATTATAAACTAAGGAAGGCTACAGGATATGATATTGGTGAGTTAAGAAATCAGTGCATTTTGTTTCTATTCACTTGAACAGTGAGCAGTGATGTTTATATAAGGGATGAATGTAGAGCTCACACTGAGAACTAGCAATGTTTTATTTCTAGCAAGTTTTTCAACTGCCACTGGGTCATTTTTTGATAGGTTGTTTTAACCACAATGCTTAAATACTTCATAAGTTAGCAGTTCAGTCCTTTTTCTTTAAGGAAGTAGACAAGTTATTGATCCTCCATGAATTCCCATCCAATCCACAGAGCTCTTGATCCAGGTACATAACCTTTGTGTGGCTGAGCTAACTTTTTTTTAAATCTCTCCAATCTACTTTTATTCTGGCTTTTTGGAGTATTTTGGTCTCATTCCCATTATTTCTTTTTCAAGCTACATAAGAATTTTTAATTAAACTCCAGTAATCTCATGGAGCTCTACACTGTGGCCCCTTATCACTAGACAAATTCTAGTAATCTAAAATCCCAATGTGTATAAAAAAAGATTAAAACTGCTTTGTTACATCCAGGTAGAAATCTTTCTTTTGTTATGCTTTTCTGAAAGTTATGCTTTTCTGAGACAATTATACCGTACTTTTCTGAAAATGACTTCACATACACAGGAAGAAGTGATGCTTTAACCGACAAAACGAGTCTTTGATTTTTGAAGATGGCTATCATTGTGTGAGTATTTTTTTCATTTGTTTTTAATAAAACATAAAGGGGGTGGGAGAAAGACAAAAATATGCACATGTTGCCAGTCCCAGTTGGGCATTATTTGTATGTAGGCTAATCTTTCTTTGCTATTAAAGTGTTTATGAGTAGGAATATTTCCAGAATTGCAACAAAAGTGATGTCATCCCAAATAAGACAGAAAATAAGAAAATGGAACTTATTCAATCAGGAAGGAAATCTGGCCTGAGAAAACTCAAACTGAGAAGTTATGAATATAGATTTATAAGAAACACATCCATTTTCAATCCCACCACTGATCTAAAGGAGAAACTTCCTAACAGTGAAAATAATTAACCAGTGGAACGGCTTGCCTTCAGAAGTTGTGGGTGCTACATCACTGGAGGTTTTCAAGAAGAGACTTGACAGCTACTTGTCTGAAATGTATAGCATCTCCTGCTTGACCAGAAGGCTGGACTGACCTCCAAGATCCCTTCCAGCTCTATTCTGATTCTGATTCTTATATCAATCCCTTCTCATAGTCACTCATATTCAAGTCACCTCCCGTCTTGACTATTGCAACATGATCTACATGTGGGGCTGCACTTGAAATGTATCCACAAGGTTCAATTGGTTCAAAATGCAGCAGTCAGTATGGTTTTGTGCAAGCCTAGATGTGCACACATATCATCTTTCCTGAAGGAGCTGAATTGACTGCCGATTTGCCTCTTGGTCCAATTCAAGGTGCTGGTTTCATCTTTAAAGCCTTACGTGGCTTGAGACCGTGATGGCTCCCTCACCATTATTCCTGTGGTGATAAGATTAGCCCCCACTTTGACAGTCTTTTGCAAGACTCTGAAGACCTGGTTTTGCCAACAGGCCTGGGTAACCTAGAATGACATGGAGCCCATTAAGTGACTTATTTGATTGGCTGATTATTGTGAAAAGGGATTTGGGAGGTTATTGCTTTATTTATTGGGTTTTTATATTTGTAAGCTATCTGAAATCATTGAGAGTGAGTTGCGCAGCTATATAAATTTTCTTAAATATAAAAAAAGTTATATATTCATTTTTTATGCTTGATTTTGGATCTTAATTTGGATATTTTTGAAAATCACATTTTATCACATTGCATTTGTACTATAATGAATTTTAATTTTGTATTTTAATTTGCTTCATTGTGTAAATCACTTCAAGATGCTTTGTGTGATAAATGCATTCAATAAATATATTTTATACCCTTTGAAATTAGCATTATATCAAAATGTATAAAACACTACATCGTATTTTACTTCCTTTTAACTCAACTTAACTCAGTAAGCTTAATTCAACAGAGCACCTTTTAAGAATACATATAAAATCTGCATTCATAATGAGTTCTTCATTTTTATGTAACAATAGAACACAACAGCACATTTACAGCTATCAACCCTGTACTCAATGATCCTTGAAATTAAATTTAAACCATGTGCATTCAAAATCCCTTCATCCTCTCCGTGGCAAATAGGGAGTAAAAGTCAACAGGCTAATTTATTATTCAAAAACACCGGAGATGCACTTGAGATGTTTACTTTTGCTGCTGCTCTTAATTAAGAATATGCTACTTCAAAGGGACTGATTTTCTGCTCCTACTTCCCTGGACTGATAGCGTTTTCTAGACAACAAAACAAAATTATATGGATGGTGGTGAGAAAGGTTATAGACTAACAAGGAATCTGCTTCAGTTATGTTGAACAGCAGCCAACTGGTTTCAAATAGAAAACCTTATAGACAGTGGATACCATTTCAACCTTCACTTTTACTTTATTTTCTAATAACAAAATAGAGTACATGTGTAAAGCTAAATCTAGAATTAGCATGATTAATCCTTTTTAATCCTTTTAATGGATCTCTAAGAAATCCAACATAAGGAAGGGTGGCTTTTCTGTTCATCTGATTGTAGCAACTAGGCATTAATTTTAGATGCAAGTAATTATTCTCAATAGGCTACCTTTTTGGTTGACAAAACACTTCTGAAATAAGTGAATGAAGTTGCACGTTTTTCTCTGCAGACCACAGGTGCACGTTTCAGAATGTCCAAATTGGATCAGAAAACTTTCTAGCTACATGCCTGAAGAACTACTACAAGATGGATTAGACAGAGCAAATCTCTATCACAGTGGTTCTCAACTTGTGCTCTGTGGACCCCTGAGGGTCCCCGATGTCGTCACAGGGGGTCTGCGAATGCTCGAAGAGATGTTATGATTTAAATCTTGAGTTAAATCTTGGTGGTCCGTGGCTACAAAAGGTATTTAAAGGGGGTCCATGGTGAAGAAAAGGTTGAGAATCATTGTTCTACCATGTTTGTGCCAGGCAGTTTCCTATATTCAACTGTTGAATACCTCTCCCTCCCCAAACATGGTATCAAAACATACAATTATTGTTACAGACTTTTGTTTTGAATTCAAGGGGCTAGGACAATGTGGAGGGGAGAGGAATGCATCATGGAAGGCTGGAACAGAATAGCTCATAAAATGGCCACAAAGCAGGTGTAGTTACCCTTCAAGTTGGGAAAGGGCAGAAAATCAGGGAGAAGCCATTTCATGTCATTCTTCAATACAGTGTTTTATTCTTCATACAAGTTGTCCTTAACTTACAACAGTCTGTTTAGTGACTAGTTCAATGGCACTGAGAGTGACTTATGACTGGTTTTCACACTTACGAGTGTTGCAGCATTCCCATGGTCACGTGATCAAATTCAGATGCTGGGCAACTCACTCATATTTATGACAGTGACAGTGTCCCAGGGGTCATGTGATCCTCTTTTGTGATTTTCCGACAAGCAAAGTGAAGCCAGATTCACTTTACAACTGGGTTACTAACTTAACAACTTCAGTGATTCACTTAACAACTGTGACAAGAAAGGTCGTAAAGTGGGGCAAAATTCAGTTAACAAATGTCTTGCTTAGCAACAGAAATTTTGGGCTCAATTGTGGTTGTAAGTCGAGGACAACCTGTATGCAGCAAATCCAATCAACGAATTTCCTTTAATATAAATTAGAGGGCAAGATTCTCTGAATGCCCAAGTTTTTGTACAATCCCAACATCTTCAGCATATCTGATACCTACAGATTAACCTATGTGAAAAATATATAATTCAATTCTTAAACAATACATATACGGTAAATGTTGTGTCACATCTTTTCTTATGACAGACTTATTGAACAAGAAAAATGAAAACAGGAGAACACCTTAAACTTTCCAGAAATTGCACAGTACCACATCAAAAGGGTCTTACTGGCCAAATTAAGTTGTATTTTAAACAGGCTTGAAAATGATTAACTTTGGCTGAATCGTGTCATTTGTTTACAATTGGTGTTTTTTTTTTTAAAAAAAAAAATCAGTTCACTTACCTTTCTCACTGCTACTTGCTAGAAGGGAGGGTGGGCTTGTGGGCTTGGATTTGTCATAGTTGTTAAAGCTCTGGCTGCGCCTATTGTTAGCATTTGCTGGACCACGGGTTTTTATTTCGCTGCCTGCAGCTGAAACCCTTGTGGTAGGACCTGGAAGCCTGTTTTCAGGGTAAAAAGAAATAAGTAAATAGGCTTGCTCTCCAAATGTAAATGAGTTGGTTTAAAATTCCATATCAAATTGGAGGAGGGCTTACCTCCTCTACAAAGACAACTGACCAAGTAAAGAGCTCCATGAAAGATCTTGTGCTTCTCTGCAGTTCCACTGCAAAAGCTTCTCTTACTAGATTATCTAAGACATATATGTACCTGGGCCAGCTTTTTCCAACTATAGCACAACCGATTAGCGTTTTTGTGTGGGAGATTTCACATCCTTTCCAAACTGGATATT